AAAAATCAATGCCGTGTACACGTCCACTGATAGGAGACGCGGAAGGTATTAAACTGATCAGAACAATACTAAACACACCCACTTTAGTGAGGCTTTACAGGACAGAGGCTTCCTCCACGGACATGTTAACTCAATGGCAGCTGGCTCATCATGAACCAGCAGCAGCTTTCCATGTACAGGTAAGACACGTGCAGCCGGTAAGGGTTCAGGCTCTTCTTCCTGGAGGATATGCTGCAAGCCTGTTGAGCGAGGTGACCTTGCTCGGGTCCCAGGTGTACGGTTCCTAAAATGGCTGCCATATACACGTCCACTGATAGGAGACGCGGAAGGTATTAAACTGATCAGAAAAATACTAAACACACCACAAATAAGGTTTGTCTCCTGTATGGCTCCTCAAATGATGCTTAAGATTAGAAGCGGCTGAAAAGCATTTCTCACACTCCGAACAAAAATATATTTTTTTAACATTCTCTCCACTTTGAGCGAAATGACGTTTGGGAAGAGATTAACATAATTAAACACAGGCAGTAAAAATACAGTTTTTAGCCATACCCTGTAACTTTAAAACTACACATCCCATCTTCATAATTACATATTTGGAATCAGCACACTTAAAACATAAACATAACCAAAAATCAGCCAAATCCATCCAGGGGTTAAAAAGTTAGCTGGAGGTCCCTTTATGACCGACCGCAAGCACATTTTCCTGCCCAAAACAGTTCCATAGATTTGGGCTGTGAGGTCGGTCTATTTCAGGCTGAAAAAACGACTAAGTCCCATCGCGAATGGGACTTAGTCTCTGCAGCTGAAATAAGGCTGAAAAAAACGGCTGAAAAAAAGACTAAGTCCCATCGCCGAATGGGACTTAGTCTCTGCAGCTGAAATAATTTCCCATTTACTGAACCAAGTGGGAAATAGCAAGGCAGGCACAAAGGGTTTGCACCAGGTCTGGGGACACAGGGGACACCGTCTTAAAGGGGCCGTGTCCCCAACAAGTCTGGGGACACGGCCTTAAAGGGGCAGTGTCCCAATCTTCCTGATGTCCCAAAAAGGTGTTTAAAGGGCCAGCACCAGTCACATAAAGAGTCCATAAGCCCCAATATGCCCACCGACAGTCTTAAAGGGCCATACACACCAAATAAAAGTGCATACATTTTCACAATCTCCCAGGGGCCATAGTCATGCGGGAGGAGGCTGGCAAATAGGCTTCTCCACAACCCAGGGAAGCAGGGCAATTTGCCATTTAAAGGGCCCGTTACAAATAGCAGTTTGTAACAAGGTGTCAATCCATATCTGCCAAGTGACCCGATGTAGGGGACCAGTCCCTATTCTGCTCTGTGTCAGTGTGTATCAGGGAACCTTAGGACAGGTGTCAATCCATATCTGCCAAGTGACCCGATGTAGGGGGAACAGTCCCTATTCTGCTCTGTGTCAGTGTGTATCAGGGATCCTTAGGACAGGTGTCAATCCATATCTGCCAAGTGACCCTATGTAGGGGAGCAGTCTCTATTCTGCTCTGTGTCCGTGTGCATCAGGGGCTCTGAGGACAGGTGTCAATCCATATGTCAAGGTGTCAATATGTCATATGTCAGGTGTCAATCCATATTGATTGTGATTTAGGAATGTTAGGTGATTTCTGCCCTTTATGGATTAAAACCAGACTCTGTATCAACTGTGTAATTTTCCATGGGAGTTTTGCCATGGATCCCCCTCCGGCATGCCACAGTCCAGGTGTTAGTCCCCTTGAAACAACTTTTCCATCCCTATTGTGGCCAGAAAGAGTCCCTGTGTGTTTTAAAATTCGCCTCCCCATTGAAGTCAATGGCGTTTCGGGCGGTTCGCCGGTTCGCGAACATTTGCGGAAGTTCGCGTTCGCCGTTCGCGAACCGAAAATTTCGGGTTCGCGACATCACTACTCTCTATATTCAAAAGGTGCTGGATAAAATTGGAGATGTACGTACAAGACAAACCACTCTGTGTAAAGCGCCTGGGTTGGACAATCCAATGTATTCTTTGGATCGTATAAAAGATTCAGATGTTAGGATAGGCCAGGTTGTTGAACTAAAAACAATAAAAACAATGTTTCATAGTTGGCTTTTTCAAATGTAGAAAATGTATTATATGTAGAAGTACAAAAGATTTGGCTCTAAATAAAACCACTCATTTTAAATCCAATATCACCAATAAAACATATAATATAAAGCACTTTATCACGTGCCATACAAAAAATTTAGTCTACCTATTGGAGTGTCCTTGTGGCCTCCAATACGTAGGCATGACATCCAGATGTTTAAAATTTAGGATATCCGAACATTGCAGAAATATCAAGAATGGTTATGAAAATCATACGGTTTCCAAACATTTTCTGACACACCACCAAATAAATCATTGCGATCTAAACGTTATAGCCATTCAAACATGCATAACCCTATGGAGAGGAGAAATAAAAAAGATATTGTGAAAAAACAAAATGGAATGGGTTTTTAACTTGAAAACATTAACACCAGATGGCCTAAATGCAGATTTTGACCTTTTTAACTTTTTATAATTATCCCCTATAACACTTTTTTTTATAATCATAAAGATCAAATATTAAATAAACCCACATGTGCCAGGCTAACATTATGTACACTTGAAGAAGCCCCTTGTTTTTTCTGACTACATAATAATTTGGTTAGTCTCTTTAATTTTAAATACTTTTATATTTATCCTTATTTTTTTTACCTGGCATATCCTAACATCTGAAGATTTCATACCATCCAAAGAATCCATGGTGGGGATTGTTCCACCCAGGGGCTTTACACAGAGTGGTCTGTCTGCTCTGTAAATTGTAAGTAAATATCCTATTTTATCCAGCACTTTTTTAATATAGAGAGCACTATGGGCCTTCTCTTGTGTTTTTATTTCATATGACCTACACTGAAAATATCGTCAGAGGAATATCATACATGTGGGGAGTTTACATACCACTGTATGCTGTTTTAACGCGAGCTGGTTATAGCTCCCATAAATATGAGTTGGCATTTCTTAACCTCAGTGTTGTCTGGGCCATACTCCTTTAAGTTACTGCACCACTGGTCCCCTCTGTGTGTTTTTTTTTTCTTTCATATATGCTGATGAGGATTTGACCCAAGACGTCTTGAGAATTTCTGAAGAATATACCTGTGAATTAGAGACTTTAATTTGCCTGTTTCCCTGGTATTTTTTTCTATTATTTATTTTATTTATTCACTTTGTTCCTGGCACACCCTGTACTTGTTGTTTTCCATTGTAATGATCTACTCAATGTTATTCTCTTCACCTATCGGTGGTTGCAGTTGGCACCGGATCCCCACTGGACCACAAGGAAGC